TTTTTTTTTTCTTTCCCCTTCCCTAAAGGTCCAGGGGAGACAGAAGAATCAGTCTCCTCCACTCCTGTGATTGAGGGCAAGTCAGAAGAACTACTTGGCACAGAACTCCAGAGGGATGCAGAGGCCTGCCAGCCTGCCCCTGATCATGCTGCCCTTCCCAAGATCCACAGCCGGAGATTCCGGGAGTAAGTGAGCACTGCCAGGACAGGCAGGGTGCTTAGGGTTATGTTTGGCACTGATTTCTCCCATCCTTACAGAGTGGAGTGCCATAAATCTGTGTGTTTGGGCCATATTACACTTTGACCTTCCTGGTTGAAAATTGCATCGTCTAGTTCTGCAGGTGTTGGGGGTTAGCCTAATATTTTTGTCTGTGTGTGTCTGCTATGGCTTCTCTCCTGCTGGTAGTGATGCAAGAGGTACCCTTAGTTTGAGGTGGGGCATGGATGATGTAGCAGTGATGATAATCTGGATCCATGTTTCAGTTTCTTGCTATAGTTTCTTAAGGGCAGGATACTTTCTCCTTGTTTGCGCATTCTTCCTTCCCACTGCTCTTCAGGGTAGTCTGTCCAGGTGTTTGTATCCTGGATGGGGAGGTGCATGGGGAGTGGTGAGACTGGGCCCTGTGTAAGCCCTGGAGGGCAGGACCTGGGCTTCTGGCTTTTGTAGTTGGGAGTAGTGGGGAGATGCTTACTCTTCACTTTTATACATCAGACTTATCACGAATCCCATTGTCCCAGTGATGAGGGCTAGCATCCAAACAACTTCCAATCTGATACTGTCTCTTCTCTCTGGAGTTGGACATCTCAGAGCTGCAGTGTTGCAGCCAGTGGCCAAGTTCATGGTATCTGATGTTCCTTTCAGTTACTGCAGCCAGATGCTCAGTAAAGAAGTGGACGCTTGTGTCACAGACCTACTCAAGGAACTGGTTCGGTTCCAAGATCGTATGTACCAGAAAGATCCAGTCAAGGCTAAGACCAAACGCCGGCTTGTATTGGGGTTGAGGGAAGTTCTTAAACACCTAAAGCTCAGGAAACTGAAATGCATCATCATTTCTCCCAACTGTGAGAAGATACAGTCGAAAGGTAAGAGCTCTGTGATATTCCATAGCACATGCTCCCTGTGGCAGTGCCTAGTGTGCTGCCCTCATGATCCACCTTGCACCTGCTTAGTGAGCCAGGCCACACTGTGGGCATTGATGGCTTGCTTTCATTCTTGTTTTTTCCCAGGTTCATTGCCCACTGAGCTCCTCATTCTGAGGCAAGGAGGTGGCATGGTCTTGCACATGGATTTCCAGCAGCCCACACGACCTTCCTCTGGCAGCAGGGAAGGAAGTGCTGGCTGCTGCTATTGAGCTTGTGAGAATTGCTGCAGACCTTGTGCCTGGTTGTCTAGCTATCCTTAAAGAGGGATGTATCTAACCTACTGCAAGTTGTTGGGTTATGATTAACTCATTCTGCTTACTCATTACCAATATGGGTTTATCTTCATTTTACCTGAGCTAGAAGGTGTGTGTTTTGTTGTCAGATGTTTTATATGAGGTGACAGTATACTTCAGTCTGTGGTGTCTCATGTTTGCCCTGCACTTGTGCTAACATGGCTTCCTGAGGACTTGCCTGAGTTGTGCTTCTTCACGTTTAGTAGTATAACTGGTAGTTAAGAGCAGAGTGCTGTCATTCATGTACACCCCTCCTCCATGTCCTCAGGGCTGGGGAAGAAGAGGGGCATCTATACACACAGCCCTTCTCTGGCCCCATTCCTTCCTCCTGTGTGCAAACTTCATTTTGGCCAGAGTCACACTTTGAAGTAACAAGTCCAGGTCCTGGTGCCAAACCCTGAGTGATGATCTTTTCCAGTTGCTATTCCACAACTGAAGCCTGGGGTTTTCCTGACACATGTGAGGCCCCAGGAGGCCCAGGGGCAGCAACTGGACCCCTGTCCTCAGTCGATATAAGTCCAGCATCACCACTGACCAGAACGTGACAGGACTTGTCCATCTGGCTGTGCGTCTGTGGCACCCAGAAGCCTCTTTGGGTCATTGTAGAGAATGAGCCACATGTTTTTCTGGCTCTTTGGTCAACAGTGTATACTATATACCTCTGCACTGATAAAAGGCTCAATTGTTACATGACATTTGTTTCAGGAAAAGGCAAGCTGGGCTCTCTGCCTTCACTAGAAACCCCACTGGTCAGACCTTAGGTAAATCTTGGTGTAGTTCCTTCCCTGTCTCTAAAGAAGTAGCTTGCAAGGCCACTACTCATTTTTGTTTTGTTTTTAAACCTATTTGTCAACTTCCCAATAGAGGAAAGAACTTTATTCTTTCATCCCCAGCCTTCTAATGCATAGTTTGGCTTCCGGTTCTTGTTTTGTGGTGTTTGCCTAATTGCCTATATACTTAATGTTTTTTCTATATACTTAATATTAATTAAACCCACACCATTGGCCAGCAGCCTCAGTGTGCTCTGAGAGAGTTGGGTGCATCAGGCAGCTTGAAATTTCATCTGAAGAAAACTAATTCTGGTCTCTGTGCCCCTCATACAGCTATTACCCCAGCATACCTTTGGCCTCTACCCTGCTCTTACTGGGACACACTGTTAATACAATCCTGTTGGCTTCCCTTTGTGGGTACACCCTTGTTTGGTTGGAACACATCCTCTTATGACTGGGGAGGGAAGGGTGCATAGGAGATACTTTTGAATATCTTGCTTGAAATCTAGTCTCTGATTCTTGATCCTTTGTGATCAGAACTTCTTGTGCTTCTCTCCTCATCAGGAGCTTGTCTTCAGTTAGGTTTCCAGAATGTGGGGCAGTTTGTCTCTGGATCTATGATGTGTTGAGTTTTTGCTCTGTAACCCTTTCCATGACTGCTGGCTCTTCTGGAGCTGTGTCATCATTAGACTTTCTGGACTATTCTTTGCTCTCAGCTTCTTTTTGCTTGGTCTTATAGTTAAATTTCCTGTTAGGATTTCTCAACTGTCTCTTCAACTTTGTACAGCATTTTCTTTCTGTGAGTTGATTTTTTTTTTTTTTGTTCTCTGATGATTGCTTTTTGTTTTGTTTTGTTTTTGTCTTGTAGTACTAGGGATGGGAACCCTCACACATGCTAGGCAAGCTCTCTACCACTAAGCCACACCCCACCCCTAAAGATTGCTTTTATTTTTATTTTTATTCTTTTGGTGGGACTGGGGCTTGAACTCAGGGCTTTGTACTTGCAAAGCAGGCACTCTGCTGCTTGAGCCACACCTTCAGTTCATTTTGTTCTGGTTATTTTGGAGATGGGGGGGCTCTTAACAAGTATTTGCTCAGGCTGTACTTGAACCACAATCCTGCTAATCTCAGCTTCTCAAGTAGCTAGGATTATAGGCATGAGTCATTGGCGCCCAGCTAAACATTGCTTTTATAATTGTGCAGCTATATTGGATGTCTTTCTTTGAGTGTTTCATTGATGCCAGGTTGTTCTCCTGTGGAGCCTCCATTTCCTTCAGGGCATTTGGTGTTTGTTTGGGTTGCTTTTGGTAATGTTTTCCTAACTGTCCTCTGACCCTTTTAAAAGAATTCCAGATGTGTGGCTGGCATCTCAGGGCTGTGAGTGGTATTGCAGGGTAGTAGTTCTCAAAGTGCAGGCATCATCTAAGTCACCCATGGGGCTGGTGAAATGCAGATTCCAGAGTTTGTCCCAGCAGGTCAGTACTTCCAGCAACTTCCCAGTGATCATACTGGTATAAAGAGCCCACTTGAAGAGCCTCTACTTCAGAGTGAATTGTTTGGGCTGCTGCCCAGAGGGAGGCTCTTCTCCCCTCTAAGCTGGTTACATGCCTGCCTCCTACTTGGAGGGCAGTTGTGGCTCTTGGATTGTGGCTCTCATGCTCACTATCCAGTGGCATGTGGGGTCCTGCACACCTCTCTGCCTCACCAGAGGGGCTGCAGCTGAGGGATATGTTGCCTCAGCTGTCCTGCCTGACTACGGTGCTATCTGTTGCCAAGCTTTGGGGGACCCTAGGGCTGCTGTGGGCTTTTCTTGGCTTAGGTCTGTTTCTTCAGTTGTCCATTGCATTTTCAGCTTCCAGAACTTTTTGCTCTTGCCACCTCCCATGTAATTGTCTCTTTAAAAAGTGAAAAGGTAGATGTGTCTATACTTGATCTGTAGTCTCCTGCCTTCCCTGAAGCACCTTCCTCTTGATGGAGAAGGCTGGGTTTTGACTTGATTGGCATCTTAAGGATTTGTTATGTTTATGTACTTGAAATGTATTTGTTTGATCATCTGTTTCTGTATTTTTCTGCTTGAAGCATAAGGAACTTGAAAGTTAATCCCCTGTTCAACCAGATGGAGAGTCAGCTCCCGAGTCACACAGGATGTGCCTTTAAGAAGTCCCCTTCTTGAATTTGTTATGGGCAGGATGCAGTTAGGTTCCAGGTGATACTTTTTCACAGTTCTAAATAATTATAGCAAACATTTATTGTTTTTCAGAATTGCTTTATAAGAAATGTGTATCTTACAGTTTCAATACTTGACATGAAAGGGCAACTGTAACCCTAAAGCATGTGACCCACTGCCTTCTAGTGACCTCTGCAGTGCCTCCCATGCCTGATTTCCCCCATCCCTCCACCCTCCAAATCATGCCACCCTCCTGGAAAGTTGTTTATAGCATTTTTCTTAGGAACTGTCAGTATATTCTCACTTAAGAACTTTTTGTTTCCTCTGAACTAATCACATATTCTTTGCGCATATTTCTTTTGAGAACTTGATTTTTTTATATTAACTTGTTCCTTTTTTTTGTAATAAGCTAGCCCTTGGATAAAAGTTGCAAATATTTTTTTAGTTCTTTCCCTTTTTCATAAAAAACAAAAAAACTTCTTTTTGGCTTTGTAGAAACTACATGTTGTAAATATTGTTTTGTTGTTTCGGTTTTCTGAAGGGCCTCACTATGTAGGCCAGACTGTCCTCAAACTCATGATTCTCCTGCCTCTACCTTCCAAGTGCTGGAATACAGGTGTGCACCACCATACCAGGTTTGCTTGCTTGCTTTCTTACATATGTATTTATTTGTTTGTTTCAATTCTGCAATTTGAAGTCATGGTGTTGCCCTTGCCAGGCAGTCACTCTACCACTTCAGTTATTTGCACAGCCCCTATTTATTTATTTGTTTTTGCATATAAGTTTTACTTTTATTTTTAAACCTTCTCCAAAGCTATTCAAATTTTTTTTTCTGTTTTTTTCCCTGGTTCTTCCATGTTTTTATGTATATGTAGAATGTATTTCCGTCTAAGACATAAGTACAAGTCTAGATCAGTCTTCTCAGAGGCCTACCCAGTCACCCCAAGGTCTCGTGCCCCACTGATTCAAAATACTGTTCCTAACATACTCAGTTTTCAAACATTCAGGTTATTTTTGGACCCTTCATTCTGTTTGATCTGCATCTCCTTGTTTATCTTATTGTGGCTTTATTGCAAATTTGTATCCTGGTGATGCCAGCTTCAAATTGTCTCCTACTTTTAATTTACCAAAGAAATCCTGTTTGTAGGCAGTCACAATATTTTAAAGTTTAAAGTTAATAATGTACAGTTGGCATTTTGTTATTTTAGATCATCTCTATCCAAAAGCACATTAGCATGTTGGAGTTGTTCTGTTTATCTTTCACACTTCTTGATAAATGTATTCCTGCCCACTGTCATCTTTGGTTCCCCATGTAAATGGAGTCATCTCTTTGATTGTGCATTCTCACTGGCTGCTGTTGAAACATAGAGACATGCCAACTGCTGTTACTCGCTTCTCCTGTGTTGGGATTGTTCCTCGATGTTGGAACTCTGGGTGGCCAGGTGTGTTACCTGTACCTTCCACCTATCCTGCCTCATGCTGGCCTTGGCTCACCTGGAAGCAGACCCAGGTGTAGGGAACAGGTGTAGGGCCAGTGAGCCCTTGGGAGCCTGGCCCCTGGGCCTGACCAGTTGTGCTACATGAGATATTGTCTTTAACATCTCTGAGCCCCTGGTTCTGTCTCTATAAGAGGGGGAAGTTATCGATTTTGAAGAACTGATTGTACCATGTGGCTGTGACTTGCTCTCTCTTGGTGGAATTTTGCAGGGGTCATTGACCTGAGTATAACATTGTAGGGTGGGGTATGTTGCTGACTGTAGAATCAATATCACCTCCGTGCCCTGTGTGATAATGTCCTTGTCTTCTGACCAGGTGGACTGGATGACACCCTGCATACCATTATCCATTATGCCTGTGAGCAGAACATTCCCTTTGTATTTGCTCTCAACCGCAAGGCTCTAGGGCGTAGTCTGAACAAAGCAGTTCCTGTCAGTGTTGTGGGGATCTTCAGCTATGATGGAGCCCAGGTGAGTTGAGCCCAAGTCTCTCTGGTCCCTGCCCATGGGTGGAAGTTGGGGACAGGAGGCCTGTGTGCCTGCCCATAGGGAAGCCTAGAACCTCTGGTAGGTTGGCACTGAGAAGCTACCACTGAGGCAGAACCTTCCTATAAAACAGTGGGCTTACTGCCATCAGAGAATCACAGGTAGGCCATCCTACCTGTGTTAGCCCTGCTTCCTTGTGGAGGTTGCTGTCGCTGAGCATGCAGGAAACTAACCATCTTTCCTGTGTGCTCTCACTTGTGCCTAAGGACCAGTTCCACAAGATGGTCGAGCTGACAATGGTGGCCCGGCAGGCATACAAAACCATGCTGGAGAACATGCAGCAGGACCTGGCAGGAGGAGCTGGGCCTCAGATTCCTCCCAGCCCACCCACACAGGACCCCAGCTGCTCTTCTGTAGATGATCCCCCAGCCTCCACCGGAAAAGAACCACACTACAGTGAGTGCTCAGTGAAGGGTCTGGTGTTAGGGTGAATGTCCTCTTTAAGTTGTTTATCACCGTTAAATCAGGGGCCTGAGAGTTGCAGCTTGGTACTGTTGCTATAAGACCCGCTATAATAAGTCCCAGAGGTTCATGCCAAGAACAGCTGCAGTAGGGTCTATCAGTCCAGGCCATTGCCTAAGAAATGTTAGCACACTTTAGAAGTTTCAAGGGCTCATCAGTGACTGTCTCCAGGTGTCACCTGAACAGAGGTAGCTTAAGGACAGCTGTACCTAAGACCAGCTTGGGAAGCTGAGTGGAGTTTCTCAAGGCCATTGCTCAATAAGTTCTGCTCTCTGGGGAGTGAGAGTGATGCTGCTCATTAAGGAGAAACCTGGCAGGCAGATGGGGAAGAGCAGGTAGAACCTGCCAGCAACTCACCTGAGCAGAGTGAGCTGGCAGCGTCTGTAACTCACTCCATCATGCTGCTGGTTTCTGATGGACTTTGGTGACTTGTCAGTGTCTGCTCATCACTTGAGCTGTTTTCCTATTTTAGTTGAAATTTGGAGAAAACATCTGGAAACATACAGTCGATGTGCCCTGGAGCTAGAAGAATCACTGGAGGCGTCAACCTCTCAGATGATGAACTTGAATTTATAAGAAGAGAGCTCTTTCCTGTGTGTCTGTGTATTTTGGGTAAGGAGGGGGAGGCTTGAAAAAGACTTTGGGGCTTTTCCTTCTCAGTTCTTCACTGGCCTAACGTATGGTGAATGACTGTTGAGTTGGAAATTAATGGGCCTGAGAGGGCACAGGAAACAGTGTTTGTAGGCCCTCATAGCCACAGATCCTGCTGAATGGACTCACATATGCCAGCGGAAGCCTTTCCTAAGAGCCTGGTGATTTCCATTTGGGCTTTCTGAGCATACTGTGGATCTGGAAAATACTGGAAAACATAATCCTGAGTACTCCAGCTGCTAAGGAAATGTTCCCTCTGTTGCAGCATAGATGAGCCAAGCAAGGGAGTTTGCAGCAAGCAGCAGTTGTGCAGCTGCCTGCAGGGGATCGTGGGGAGGGCCCCCACCCCTGGGTTCACTGGTGTCAGAGCAGGCGGGCAGTGGGAAGCGCCCTTTCTCAGGGGACATAGCTCTGCTACTTAATGATACGGAGGATTTGCTAAAATGAGCCTCAGAAGGAAAGTTAGATTCTAACCTGTGACTTTTTGACATGGATTACTCCTTTTAGTCTTTGTTTTCCAAAGAAGCAGGTATATTGAAATTCCTAGATTTCATTTTAATAATCTACAGCTCTTTTTTTAAATGAACATATTCTGAATGTGGCTTCTGCCTTAGAGGCCAGGAGGACAGAGCTTTTGTATTTTTCCTGCAATAAGAGGGCTATTTATTTTGAATAAAGAGTGATTATTTAATTTCCTTTTAGACTCTGGTGATTTAGGCTTATCAATGGTCTCAGTCTTACTGATTCTTCTTGCATCATGGTTTTTCCCTCTTGGACACTGGGTCGTCATGGTGCCTGGCACTCCCAGCCCTAGAAGTATTGAGTGCTAAAGTCTGTCCCTGCTCAGCCCCAACCCGCACTTGGGTTCTTTTTGCCAAAGCCCATAGCAGGAAAGAATTTTACACTACTCTTTGCTTGTCAAGCAAACAGGTATTGTTTTGACTTTGAAACTCTATTAATTGAAGTCAGTCACAGCCAGCATAGATCTCTGAGAAGTGAATGGCTTATGATGAGCAAGTAAGATTGGAAGAATGAGTTAGAAACAGTATACATTGACCAGTGGTAGCATGACCAGAGGTTGGTGTGTGGAGCACCACCTGCCCTGCCCTGCCCTGCCCATTGTTGACATATTCTGAGCTGGTTCAACATGGTTGGTAGATGTAGCTGGCCAGACCAGCGGGTCAGAGGAGAGATCTTTCCTGCCCCCACACTGTGTCAGTAGGTAACAAGTAAGTAGTAAATTTGAAAGTTGGAGATTATTTGAGAATAAAAGCTACAAAACTAATTTATGGGGAATATTCAAATAGCTTATTAGCTACACTCAGCAGTTAAAGTCAGAAAAATATTTTAAATGTCTACCGGAGGTGAAGACCTGCTCAGAGGTCATTCTTGGAGAGCTGTAGGTTTGTGGAATTTGTTTTGCTAATCCAGGCTCCTGGCTTAAGCAGAATGCATAGGTGAGTTTTTAACATCTCATTTAGCTTCCGCAGGATTCCTTCTCTTAATCCTGTTCTGGCTTGTGGCACCTTGGTTGTGCCATCACTTTGTGGGCAGTAGAGAACTCCTGCTGAGGCCAGCACGGAAGTGCTGCTCAGCTAGCCCATTCACCCGGTGTGCTGATGGTGCCTGAGGCAAACAGTGCTGGGAGTTGCAGGGGATGGGTACCAAATTGAACTTGCAGCTCTTTGTGTCAGCAGTGCAAAGAATCACAAATTTCTTTCTCATAGCCACATTTTGCTACAGGCACTCCACTATAACCTCAAGTGTATAATGGGTTCATTAAGTAAGAACATGCTCTGACTAAATCCAGACTTTGGGAAACAGCACCAAGAGAAGGGACCCAGAGCTGGCGGTATTCACGTAGCTGTTTGTCATGGTTGAAGCCACATGGCAAGCATAAACCACAGTGAAAACTGATGCAGATTTTATAGAAAATTTTCATATCGTGAGTATGTATGTTTCTGTGGGGAGGATTAGCATGCAATGGCCAGATGGCCAAGCAGGTGCCCCAGCAGTGGCTGGCTCTCTTGGCTCCACATGAAGGAGAGGGCAAATGTGGCAATCAGGGTGTCTGCCCAGAACTCAGCTGGCTTCAGGATTCTTTTTTGTGTTGGATCCAGGAAGTGAGCTGCAGGAACCCGTATGCTGATCTCGTAACACGGTTGTTACCACACACATCCTGCTCGATAAAGACGGGAGCTGTGGCCACACGGCTGAGGAGACATGCAGTATCTCCCTGTGTCACAAGAGGGGCATGGTTTTGCTTTCATTAGAGGTTTTGGTTTTATGATAGCTGTGAAAACTGCCATTTCACAATCAAGAAGAGTCATGTCTAAGATGTCTGAGCAGCTCTAGGGCCAAGCTTTCACAAGTTCACACACACAGTGACTTAGTCTTCATGTTAACAGCTTTAATAATTAGAGACTCAAGCAGGTACAAGAGAACACACTCATCACTCAGGCTACTGTCAAAAAAGTTTAATATGGTACCAGGAACTTTGCATAATTGACCTGTTTAGCTTTTCTACCTCAAATGCCTAGTGTTCTTTATAGAAGCGGAGCATTGGGGTGGGGTGGGGTAAATATAAGCAGGAACCACAGAACTTCTGAGATTAGTGAAGAATGACACAGATATCACAGAGCCATCCAAAACTGGACCTTATCGTCACTGAAGGTTTAAGGCAAAGGGTTTTCACTTGGAATCTCACTTTTCCCACCCCAGGATTGGACCCTGGGGTTAAACATCTAGCTCTTTAGATGGGCACAGCAGCGGGCTGGACTTAACATCTGTCAAACCAGGATGGGGGTGGGCTGTATTAGCCCTGCTAGCTGTCCTGGGTGAGGTTCGAATGTGAAATGGAAGTCCTGGGATCAAGTAGGAGTGGCCACCAGAGGCAAAGGAGCCTTCACACTTCTGTTTCTAACATGATATTTCGGTTTGGAATCTCCTAAGAACACCTGGTCACCTGTGTCTGTCACCAGACCCTCTGTTGTAAGCACCTTGAAAGGTCTTGGTTACAGTCCCAAGCCTACTCAGGGCTCATTGCTTCTCTACTGCCCAACGTTTGGGAGGGGCAGGTCAGATGGTAGTCCGAGAGCTGTGCAGAGCTGGCCAGGGGCAATACAGTTTGCTGCTGTGGGTGCTGGGGCCTTCAGTTTGCTAGGGTGGGTGGCTGGCTGGGAGCCAGGGTCGGATCAGGCTCTGGGTTGGGAACTGCCTCCTGGTGGCTAGAAGGTGTCCTTGCTACAGCTTTCCTGAAAGAAAAAGGTAGTTTTTGAATTCTTGGCAGAATACCTGAGTCTTCTCTGCTCTGCAACCCAGTTTCTCCTATAGACCATCTCAGATGGAATAAAGGCCTGGCATCTCATGGTGTAGGATCCCCTTGGAATCTAAGCATCAAAGCATTTGGGAATGGTTTTTCTACAGGGGACAGGATTGCACAAGCAGCCCATTTGCTCCACCTCCTGGTCCAACCGGCTGCTTAGAGCACACATTCCCGGAGGGCTTAGGTTGAGAGTCTGCAGATGTTCTAGTGTGAAAAGACCAACTGAGCCCTCACTCTTTTGCCAACGAAGGGGAGGGAGAGGGCTTTAGGGCCCTCAGCTTGAGCTGGTAGAGAGCCCCCACCTCTATGCAACTCGTGTGGCCTGTCTTCTGGTGGTATCCAAGAAGGCAACACCAGTGAATTTGGAGCCTGTGGCCCAGGCAGCCTCCACCTACGTGGCTTATCTGGGAACACCGCTGCTTCTGCAGCCTTGGACCTGCTGATTGACCCCACTAGGGCTGGACCCAGGATGCTACCTTTCCTTGCTCCCCAGCAGTGCCCAGCTGAGCGCCACCTGCAGGCAGCCCCACCTGTGTACTTGCAGAATGCTGTCCAAACACTGGGCCCATTCAGATGGCTTCATGCCTCCCAATCCTGCCTCAGTGCCAAGACGGAGAATTCAAAAACATCTGTGCAGGCTGAAGAGTAGCCCACTTACAGATTGGGAGTCCCTGCAAGATCCCCTGGGTAGTCAGTACGCACCCATGCCTTCCTCCAGCCCTGCATCAGCCGATCGTGCTCCCCGACCACAGCCTGCCAGGCAGCAAGCTCTCTGCTCCACTTTTCCTGCTGGGCTGCCTCTGGAAGACAAACAGCCAAGGTCATGGCTCTGCAGTCCTCTGTGGCACCACTAATGCACATTGTTCACCAAAGCCCCACCACAGGTCATTTGTGAGGGGCAAGGCCCAGTTTTGACCTATCCAGTGGTCTGCTCTCCTTGTGGCGGTGTTCAGAAAAGCCATTCCACCTACCCCTTCAGTGGCACCTTCTCTCCAAGGCCACAGTAAACCTGTCCTCTGCTTCCCATTGCTGCTTCCTGTTCCTGCCATGGCAAGAGGGCTTTCCGCAGCCATACAAGTGAGTGGTCTGCTTAGAGGGGCCTGCAGCTTCCTTAGTTCCCTCTAGTGAGAGTGAGCATGCAGATCACCTCTGCTCTCGCCAAGGTATGTGGCACCTCAGGAAGCCAGCAAGGCTGTGGGTTCTGAACATTCTGTCCTTTGCCACTGAATCTCCGTGGCTTTCCAAAGAGGTGTCTTGACACAAACCTGACAACCACGCAAGTGAAGCACATCACTGACTTCAGAAGCAGGCTCCCAAGAACATGAGTCCTTCTTACATGAGGCAGACACCAGTAAGCAGGGGCCCCAGTAGTCTGTCTGAGTGCCAAGTACCTGTCCAGTCTGCAGCCCAGGCCTCTGCAGGACACGTGGGAGGGTGAGGGGAGTGCCCCCGCAGTGGTCCTTGGGGGCTCTGCAAGTTCGCCTGATTGTATTCTAACAGCCTGTGAGCTGAGCAGAGCAGGGGACCCTCTTCAGAAAATCATTTTGCTTTGTAATCACATCCTGCCGCAGCACTCCTAGTACAGTAGGCCCTTGGTGTCTCTGGTTCCAAGGAGACCACCGCTGAGGAGAGCACG